CTTTATACAACATATTTTATAGACGTGGTATTGCAGAAATATCTCTCTATTTAAACATTTTATGCTGGTATACTTTATACACTGGCCCTTTATTTTGAGAAATTATTGCATTGTAGGCTTGGTAACGCCTAAAGTTGGACGAAAAAGCACTATAATATTCCATAGAGGACAATGCTGCCTGGTCCAGTCTATTGTTCTGTGTTAGTAGCTACTATTTCTATAGTGGATCTGAGTATGGGATAGTATGATAGATATTTCTGCTGTGGCGTTATTAAATAACATGTGAAAGCTCTATATAAATCTGTCAGAGGATTACTATAGCATGTTTTCGTCTGGAGGCTGCTGTGACATAGTGGGTTCAGTCGCTGTCTGATTTGTCGTCCTTAGTGACAGTGGCGTGATTGTACAGTCCCTGTGCCATCAGGTGTAAGGCCAGTGAGTTCTTACTGCCGGTGGCCTTCTTGATTTTGGCCCTCTTGTTTTGGAACCAGATCTTGATCTGAGACTCGTTGAGGCCCAGCTCTTGTGCCAGGTTCTGCCGCCTCTGCTCAGTCAGATAGCGATTTGTCTGAAACTCCGTTTTGAGTCTTTGCAGCTGCTCTGCTGTGAAGGCCGTCCGTGGTCGCTTGTCTTCTTTGCTGGTTGTTTTCTTCTTTGGTTTGCGAGATCTTGGCCCTATAAAAGATTATATGGATTAGCCCATTAATTATCATAAAAGTAAGAAAAATAAACTTAAATCAAATATAGTGAAATGATGATGACTTAATAAAGAGCCAAAATAACTTTAAAACTACGCACCAAACCCACTTGCGTAATGCGTAAAGGCCCTGTAATTCAGTTGGTGTAGTTTAGTTTGGATTTTACATGCTCTTCTTATTGTGTGCATTATGAGCATAGTTATTTGTATATTTTACCTCGATGTAGTGCATAGTGTAGGCAGATGTGTGGCTGGAGTAGGCCTATCTCACGCACACGAGTGTGTATGTGGAAGAGTGAACGACAGCAGCGTGTCTCAAATCTCCCTCCCTCTTGTTTACGCTGTAACCTACATCACTCTCGTCATCTGTCTCAGTCCAGTATAAAGCCATTGGAAACGCAGAGAAAGCGCGCTCTCTGTTTGGGTTGATTTCAGGATACATTCAAGTTTCTACTTTTCATTCTTCTTTTTGTGGGTCACGCTGCTCAATGGGCAACGTGCTCTGACTTTGAGAGGGCTACAGCTGCTACATCCAACACATACTTTGGCATATTTTGGTACAATTCTGTTAGTTTTTATGAATCCAATTTCGAGTATAAGGCACAGATAAATAAAGTGCGCTGAGCGATAACACATGCAGCTTTTACGCACGAGGGAACCGCGTGGAGCCGCAGCCTATAAGCTCCGCGCTACAACTCATAGTAGTGGACTACGCCACACATTGTATTACATAATATATGAGAACAAGTTGTACTACACTTTAAAAACAATCTCCACAACATCACGTTCGTAAGTACGCTCTGGGGACGAGTATTTGGACAATAACTTACATGCACAACTATGTAGCACTGAGAAAATACTTTTCGAACTCTTATATGACAATAAATAAACAGTCTAATTTATGCTCGCATATTCGGCATGTTCCAAATTAATAAACTATAAAAGTTACTCCATATCGCTGCAGTGTCTGTGAGTATGTATAAGCACAGAGCCAAACTGAGCTTCAAAATACACTTGGCATTTAATTTAGAGTGGGTAGGCCTATGTTTTAATTTATTTTTATTTCCTCTAAACCAGGATAATGCTTAGTAGCCTACATTTAAAAGATAATCATCTATTTGATATACAGAAAGTGCTTGAACAATGATTTGTATTTATTATTGTGGACTAAACGTGCCGTTTGCATGGCCACTGTTTATATCGATGCAGGCCTGCTTTCTATAGTCTATATATTTATAATCAACTATATTTAAAAAGTCAGATGTAGGCCTATATTTACACATGCATAGATGTTAATAACTGCATTAATAAAGCTATTGTGTTCTAGTGTAGAATATATTTTAAATAATACAATTCGCTTCACAAGCTTCAGCGCTGCGTAAAGTCTGCTCACAGTTTCCGTAGCACAGTGACCGAGTCCTCTCGGAAGTCGGTCAAGGCATACGGGGTCAGTGTTCCAGTGCTACTGTAGGCGGGAGAGAGGGGAGAGAGGGGAGAGAGGGGAGAGAGGGGAGAGGCTCACCTGAAGAAGGCCTATCCGAGTAGCGGGTGCAGTACACCCAGGCGGGCCACAGCATGGGCTTAGCTGCTGTCGGGTTGGAGCTGGCCTGCGAACTGTCCGAGTCTGAGCTTAGGCACTGGTCCCCGCTCTCCCCGCGGGACTTGAGCGGCTCCTCAGAGGGTGCGGGGGCTTTCTTTGCAGCGTGTGGAGTGGACGTGCCCTCCGCCGGTACCGTGCTGCCCACGGGCTCAGTCTGTGGAGCAGCGGGGCTGTTGTTGCTCTCTCGCGACGCAAAGCCACTTTCTTCTTGGTTTGGAACCGTTTCTTTTTTACGCCCGAAATCCGGCCGCAGGATGTTGTCGATGAAGAAGTTGGTGATACGGTGCGGCTGCTGGTTGCCTGCCTGAGCGTGCAGAAGCGGGAGTATGGCTCTAGACTCGTCCGCCGAGTCCTGCCTCTCCTCCTGCCTCTCTCCATCCCTGTTGCCATTCTCGTGTTCTTCCATTCTAATTCACTTTAATGTGGTTAACCCCTTTGCCGTTTGGTCCGATGCAAAAAATGCGTTAAAAAAAGAAAAGAAAACTACGAAGTTTAAATAAATAAAAATGGAACTCAGAGAAGAGCGAGTGCCTTGGACACTTTGCAAAGCCCCTGCGTGTCCTCCGAGAAAAGCATACTTTAGGTCCTATGTCGCTGGTCTCGGCTTAGATCCTTTTAAGATAAAATTTGTGCCATTTGCGCATCGTCCAATTAGTCAAAGTGAATAGTTGCCTAGACCTAAACTAAACTAGGGGTAAATAAAGATGCGCCTAAACTGATGCTCTAATACTCGCACTCTGGAGTTTTGTGCTTATTTTCTGTACGAGCCCCACGAGTGACGTTTTCCTATGGTCCTCCCAGACACGTGCCTTGGACCAATCGGATGTGAGGAACCATGCCATGTGACACCAACTCCAAAGCAGTCCACAAACGCCCATCTTCGCCTGAGTAAAAGGAAAAACTCCTGGATCGAGAGACAAGGACCAGCCTCATTTAAAACCGCTGCATGCTCCACATACTTCACATAATTCATTCGTGTTTATTAAAGTGCAACTCCATTTGGAGCGGTGTGACTTCTGCGAACAACACTGATGTTTGCCTCCAATAAAGCGGCGTGTGGCTTTCTTATTGAGGGAGAGTTTCATTATATGGAGAGTTCCAACTCATATTTCTACAAAAATAAAAAATAAAAAACAGGCTGTGTTTTATCGTTAACATTGACATTCAAAGAAGTCATTAGAACAATCCAGACACAGTGTTTAACTTGTGTCGAGGCTACATCAAGTTGTGCTGATTATCTGAAGTTCCATAAGTATTTCATCCATCTCCAATAATCATTGTTTGATGTATTTTCAAATATTACATTCTTGTTTTAAATCCTGTCCATGGAAACATTGTTGCTGGGTAGAACCCGGTGGAGCTTGATGCCTCCAGCTTCTACATTGTAGAAAGTAGATCCTGAGCTTGTCGTGACGCAGCAGTCGACTACAACTGGGTCCGTATCCCTTTAAATGGAACCAGTGATGCAAACAAACTGTTTTGTGGACGGTGCTGTGGATGGGGATAGCGCCAAAGTCAAAACTTCAGAAAGTTACGAGGCCAGTGTGAGGGAGGCTTCAGAGCCTCAGGGGCCTCTGTTTGCACGGACCATGAGACTGTTGTGTGTGAAGAAAGTGCGGAAGACACAAAGGAGAGGTCCACCAAATAAGTAGGTTCTGCGTTTTACGCACGCTTTACGCATTGATATGCTTCTTGTTTTTAATTAATCCTTTGCTTCCAAACTGTGTGTCTCACATCTCTATGACACAGCTGCAGGCATGAACTATTAATGTGTGTGTTGCTTGATTATTTCTGGGTTACTTCGTTTATTATGTGTGTGTGAAAATACAGGAGAATTTGTTAGTTCAAACTTCTGCAGGTTGTTTTTTATATTCTCTATGAGCCTCTGCCCCAAACATTTTAATTCTAAATAGATTTTTTTTAGAAACATAATTGTTCACGTTTCGGATAAATACTTACACTGCTCGGTGGCTGATGGACTGAAAGTGTAGTATTTCTGTGATGGTTTGATTTTGAACACGAATAAGCAGCAGACAATGGAGAACTAACGCTGTTTAACCTCAGTCTGAGAAGTGACACCAACAACGTCAGCGCTCTCTGTTATCTATTCTATGTTGTATTTTATGTATAAATATATATAAATATAAATATATGCATATATGTGTGTGTGTGTGTGTGTGTGTGTAGGTGTGAGACACACACACATACCCCCCCCCCCCCCCCACACACACACACACTAATACACGAATAAACCTTTGTTTTTTCCTAACACACATTTTTTTCAAACATTATTATTATTTATATTTATAATCAATGATGGATGAAATAAAATCAATATCAAATGTATTGTCTATATATATTTTAAACGTTCTGATTGAGCTTTGTTGAAGCTTGTTTGTGTTTTACAAATGCACATGGGCCTAATAACTGTGTGAAGTGAGAGATTTACGTGGAGTAAAGGGTTAAGTCACTGGAGTAGTTTTTGCAGCCCTCCTCTTTACGCACGCATCCATACATCAGCGCCCTCCTCCTGCTGCTGTAGTAGTAGCGCTGTGCGTTGTGCGCATGTGTCCTGCAGCCTCTGCTGTAACCATGTGTGCCTCTGTATTTCCTTGGCAGGATTGTCTTTACGCGTCAGCAGCGCTCACTATATGGAATACTACAAAAGGTGACGCGCTGGAGGATTTGTGAATGGACGCTGTGATGTGTGCCGGCTCTGAGCTCTCAGATCAGAGGGCGGTGGGACCTCTGCAGATGCACCATGCCCCCACACCTCCCTCTCCCTCCTCGGTCCTCCGTCTCCTCTGCCCCCCTCTGCCCCCCTCTGCCCCCCTCCCCTTCTCTGCCTCTGTCGCCATGCAGGGGTCATCAACAAATCCTCGCGCTTCCTGTGCCTTTCAGGCTCTGAAAGCGCGCCTCTGTGTGATGGACCCGTATGATTTTCTGTTGTTGCGCTTTTGTTGGTGCCTGGAAGTTCGCTGCCCTTTTGTGTTCAGGAGGGTCACCGAGAGCAAGACTAACAAAAACATATCCAACCAAATTGCACATTATATGCACATTAATGTATTGTAGTTTTAGTGAGGGTTAAGTGTTATATTAGCATAAACAACAACAATAATAAAAATGATAATAATAATAATAATAAATATAATAATGATGATGATCATGATAATAATAATAACACTAATAATAATGATTATCATAATAATCCACGCCGACAAGGAATGTCCCTGGCGTACAGCTTTTGGGGCTATTACCACGTGGGCAGGTAAAATGCAGAATAAAATAAAACAACAACATGAATAATAAAAGATGGGGTTGATACAAACACACAGTTTGTGTCTAATTGTTATTTCTCGGATGGAGATTTACAATCGCCGCCTTAGTTCAGGGCTATGTGCTGTTGTGGTCCGGTGCCGAGCCCTTTATAGGTTTTAATAACTTCTAATCCGCCTGATCGGTGTGGCGTAGATAAGTCTCATTTGAATTGGGATTGTTCTTAGAGAGCGCCTCGTATTTCTTTCTCTCTACTAGAGCTTAGCACAAACAAGTACACCACCCTGAGCGCAATTAAGGCCTCAGCCAAATGAGAGGAAGCCTAATTGAATGCAGCTCAGTTCCCATCAGCAGCCACTCGAATGGATCACTAATATGTGAAAAAAACGGTTGCAATGTCTCTGTTTTAAAGACTGGTCGTAAATGAACTTGTAAACGAGGTTGAGGTTTAATTAATTGATTTCAGATCAGATACGCGTAACTTATATACCTTCACTGTCACTTTGGAACAAAAACCCAAAAGAAGTATTTTAGAGGTTTCTTGCCCAAAACAGCAAATGAATAAAATGCTTGAATAAACAAAAAATAAGTCAGATTTTGAAATGAAAAATTATGAGGATTATTTTGCTGGCTATTTTTTCTTACTATTTAATTACTATTGCAACAACGCATCATAAAACCCACGTTCCTATAGTGTGTGGACAATCCAACGCCCATATGGTTACTATCATAAGCTAATGTTTGTGATTTATAATTAGTCATTTTCACGTAAACATTTAGAATATGTAAGTGTGTCTGTTTTGTACTGATCACGTGTTTGTGCTGTAATCCATGTGCGTAAAGGTTAAACCTGTTGCGCGGTTTTTTTATGCACCACTTAAAAAAAAACTAAAACAATCTTTATCTTTCTAAATCCTTGTTTAGGGTTTGAGATCAACTGGTGTCAGGTCCAGTGACTTTTTCCACAACTGTGCAGATTCATTCTCCAGCTGCCCCGAGTTCTACAGACTGCTATTTCTGACATGTTAATGGACTCACATTCTTCATAAACAACAAATAACGTAACCGCGCAACACATCGTCAGAGAGAGACTTTTAGAGACTGCAGATCTGGGGCCCCTGCAGAAGTTTAGGCTCCTCGGCTGGTGCACCTGCCTGTCTCTCCTTGCGTTTATGAGCCAGAGGAACAAGTGCCACAAAAACAGGTGGAGAGCATTTGCAGCTAAAAACACATTTCCCCTCATTACACAACCGCTGCCAATTTAAAATAGTAAAATAGTTTCGTCCAAAAGATTTCCCTCTTGTTTCTCTCTCTACTTGTAAACGTGCTTACATAAAAAAAAAAACCTCTATAATGAAACAAATGATCACTGCTACAGCTAAAATCTGGAGCAATCTTCCAGAAAATGTGAGACAGGCCTCTTCTCTGACAATGTTTAATTAAATCCAGGTTAAAACAGTTCTGTACAGCTGCATACAACTCAGAGATTTTGTATTTTTCGATTCTTTCTTTTATACTGTGATTATTCATGATTGTATTGCTATCTTGTTTTATTCAGCACTTGTCAATTACCTTGTGTATGAATTGTGCTATACAAAAAAACTTTCCTTGCCTAAATATGGATCAACTCGTGAACGGAAGTATTTCTGTGTCCATGTATCCATTTGCATTTGTACTTTATACTTGCCCCCTTTTTTTGCCAAATCTAAAACGATATACTCTTTGTTATTGTTATTTTATTCAAGATAGAGATTGTACACTTTTCCTTTGAGGCTAGAGTTAGAAATTTTGTTTTATTTTAATTATTATAGCTATTGTTCCCATATCTTATGTTGTGCTTTGTCCTCCGCATTCATACTGTTCTATAACTTGTGATACTTGCAACACTTAATCGAATAATCGCTTAATCTCTTAATTTGTCCTTGAATAATCTTCATTTTATTTTATTTTATTTTATGAGGATTTTTGTTGCAGGTGGCACCTTAATCCAAGCGAGACCAACATTCTGGGCTATGTCTGTACGCGCAGCTTGTAGTGTAATAATAGTGGCGGGGTCAGCGGTCCGCACCAGGCTCGACCCTCGCCCTGTGTGGCTCGGCTCTCTGCCCCGTGCGTTTCGCTAAAATAGAGCTGGACCTTAGTCAACGTGCCATTTGTAACGACGCCCCTTTCACCCCAAAGCACCCGAGTTGTTTTTACCCCCCATTGTCGAATATGCTGTGAATTTTCCACTAATCAGGGCGGTCCGTCTTAGGCCGTTTTAAGGCGCAATAACTTTCCCAATTGGGTCGAGCCTGTCAGGATTGTGCATCTCTCAGCAGCGTGTGAAATAGTCTGCGTTCTTGGAGTTTCCACCTGCTGATTACGACTAATTGCATAAACAGACTGATTATTCGAATATAAATTGTCTTTTTTTTACCTTTGCAGATGCAGGAGGGTCACAGGACAGTGGTGATGATGCAGGACACTCGACATTCAACAACATTTATGGACATTTATGGACATTGGTCTCTGCACCATGGACCAATGGCTCTATGTGTTTATTTATCATTGCATGTGTTGGAACTGTTTGATTCTCTGATGTTGGCCAATTCAACGGTTGTGTGAAGTCCTAAATAAATACTGTTGTGATTTAGGGCTATAAGAATACATAGAATTTTTTAAAACAATTTTGTTAAATGGTATTTGAACTTTAAATATCTATATGTATGTATGTATATATGTAGCTGATGGAGGAGAGTCACAGATTGTTGTTATCCTGATCCCGTAGATGTGATTGACTTGCCATTACCCTGGTCGCTGCCACAGCCGGGCCTGAGCTGCACTCACTCTTGTGTTTAATTTACAACTGGGTGGATTTGTTTGGAGGGCATGCATAATCTGCCAACACCTCAGGTTTCTGGTGTCACTTTTGTTGCCATGTGATTGAAGAGGGATAGCACATTGCAATGTATTGACTGAACGGAGTGACACCGAGGCCTGGCTGCATGTGTAACTGTATAAGACCGTTGTCGTTTGCATTGATGCTCTTTCTGTTTTGACCTAAAGCTCTGAAGGACTGACCTGTTCTGATGAAAGAGCATGGACAGGAACAAGTAAAGCTTGCAGTGCAGCCTCAGACTGCCATTTGAATGGGATCTGAGAGGTAATTTGAGCTAAAATGGAGTCCTTTTCTGAGGCACTCACGCACTGAGCCCCCCCATGGCATCCAGTGTAATTCATTATTCCTGGGCAGCTCTGGGAGAGGCGAGGGCAGAGGACAGCAGAACAGCTTTGGTGTAATGAACACTCAGTGGACCTAACCCACATGTGCACATTGGCACACACATGCACACACATTCTTTATTACATATATCACAGGGAGCAGGACATTAATGCCACTCAAGACCTTTTGGCACAGAAATCGGAGTGTGCAATGATTTTCTCCAGTCCAAATCCATTTCATTGACCTTTTCTATCATGCATGGGACTCTGCTGCGCTCTGCACTCAGAGACAAATATTCCAGAATAAAATTACTGCCTGCGTTTAATAAATAATCTGATTTTCGTTTTCAAAATTTTCTCCCTTTGGAAAATATCACTGGACGTCTCCAATGTGTCTATTTGATTAATTGTTTAGAGATACCACAAATTTACAACGTATCCACTCGGTTCAATAGAAATACATTTTGCACGCATTACATTTGTTGAATCTGAATATGGAATAAATAATAATAATATATATATATATTTTATAAATCCCTACATAATCTGTTGTTCCTTGTTCTATCGCTAGGGGGCCGTGGGTGTCGTGGAAAGAATGCCCAGACAGGCAGAAAGGATAAATACTGTCATCTGCTGGCAACAAAAGCCATCACGACTCAGCAGACAGCTTTGTCATCCACTCAGCTTTTTTTCCTTTTTTCATTTTACACTACTATTGTATTGTGTGTGTGTATGTGTGTGCGTGATGTGTGTGTCACTGTGCATACTATGTGTGCTTCCTGCTTACTCAGTATCATCATGTCCCATATTAGTTGATCTTGTGCTGATTCTAAGCAAATGCATTCAGCACATATCTAGAAAGACACTGGCTTGAGAATAGCAGTGAATTGCCGGACCCCTCAACTGGGACTTTACAAATGAGAATCCATTGTCAGAATAATGGGATTTTATTAAGACCTAAAGTATTGTTAGGGAATACAGCTTATGTATCGACTGTTTTGGGGAAAAGGTCATTCTACCGAGATGTTTCCACTGGCAGTTGAGGTGCATTTAATCTGAGGTCAACAAGACAACATTTAAAAGTCACGTTCAAAGTCAGTGGCTTAAGGTGCTGAAAATAAACCAGTCTAGCATAGATGGCACAAATCAATAGATCAGATAGGCCCATCACTCCTTGCCTCAGAGGAAGGACATGGAAGACAGAAAGAGGGGAGGATGGGTGGATGAGTAGACTGGAAAGAGGGAGGGGGTGTTTTTGGCAAATAGAAGGTGCTGTAATGGAGTCTTTTGGTTTTCTGTAAATGAAAATGAAAGGATATTGAAGCTTGGCCAATTATTCTGGTGTGAAGAGGAGATGGGAAGAAGGGGGGCCATCTCGAACCGGCGTGTGGCACTGCCTTCAACAGGCCCTGATACTAACTCAAATGAGATTTAGAACAGATTTTGCCATCTCATCTGAGCATAGTGATAAAGTAGTGGACATTCTGCTAAACCACTATTGCATAAACTATCTGAGGATGTTAAGAGAAGCTATTTTGATTTAGGAGAGCCCACAGATCCTGGCCCCACTCCCAGAAATCCCCTCCCAATGCAAAAGGTTAACTGTCAGTCCCCCACTATGTATAAATAGAAGTCTGCCCTCCAGAAAAAGCATGTTTTGAGGAGGGGGCAGACAGTAGCAGGAGGGGGTGTGGTATCTCATGATCCCAGTCACACATAAACAGAGGCACAGAGTGGGCGGAGCCTAACAGACAGCAGCATAAGGAAAAGATGCAGCCAGGGTGATTATAATGGCTGCAGTCTGACAGAGGCCAGACAAAAGAGGGAGCTCATCTATTCAATACGGCCCTGAGAGCAGACTGAACACACGGCACCATCGCCAAACCCAAAATACTGGCCCCACTGTGCAACACAAGGAGCGCTTAGTACAGTATTAGACATGCTGCATATTAAAATATAAACGCTTCTCATTCATGAGTGTCATTTTTCATATGGATTTATTTTAAGTAGCAAAAAGGATACAGTTCAAAACTCAAAACCACAGAAAAAGGTGCTTCACCACCTGAAAAATAAAGCTTCCTCATGTTTTGCACCTGAATGTGAAGAGCTTATACAGAGCATTCAAATCACATCTTTCCTTCAGTAATGCTACAATATCTGACGCTGTACTGTAATGTTGTGTACATATGTAAAAGTATATCCAAACTGCATACTGTATCTGAAAAATAAATAAGGTACACATCGGTTCATGTATACTGATTGCACGTTGTCCTCTGGACCGCAGACTACTCGGATACTCTCGGTCTCGTCAGACAATACCAGGTTGATTATGAAACATTATCCATAAATATTTATGTTGAACAGAGAAACTTTGATAGTGACAAAAGCACTACGTTCTATAATACAAAGACAATCACAGATTGTAATAACAAATGTCCTGGCCTTTGGCTCAGTCATGACTCCTCCACTCTTATCAACGGGCTCCATGACTTCCCAAGCAGGAAGTCGTCACATGGTACAGTCGTTATCATGTGTCCGTAAAGAAAGAAACCATAGTACCCCACTTCTCTCAGGGAAAAAAACAAACTCAAAATCTTTGCATGGACAGATTCATATCCAGTACTTTGGCAATCTCACCATTAAACTATTTGTCAAAAACTAACTCGGCAATGCTGTCTTGGATCAATCACAATCAAAGGAATACTCAGTCTATGAATATAACAAAGCCATATTCTTTTCAGACGATGGCTTCCTCTACATTTCCCTTTTTGTAATAAGGCTGCAGCCACAGCACACACCACACAACAGTTCCAAAAGAGCAGTCCGTGTTCTGAGGGCGGTCCTGGTGATGTGGGGCTGAGCAGAGGACATGGCACTTTGTGAAGGCCTTGTTATGAGGGCAAATAACGAAGGGAGAGCAGGGCGCCTCTTCTCCAGTCCGTCTCAGAACTTTGTCCATTACATACTGCATGCTAGTCCCCTTCTTGTTTTTGGCTGGTTTGGTTGCTGCTGCCATTCCATTTTTTTAGTCATTGTGAAGTTTTTCAACGCCGCCCTGAAGGGAGACACAAAAATATCATTAACATGTCAGTCAAACACTTTAGAGAATGCTGCAGTCTTAACAGTCACTGGATAAGGCCCTTTTTACAACAATTAAAACTCTATATTTTTAAATGACTTGCACTCAATTGTTTTTACTGCAGCTGGCTCTCATCCAAATTAAAAACAAAAACAAAAATGACTATTTAAACTCCCTCACGGCAAAAAAAAAAAAAAAAAAAAAAAAGGGAAAACGTGTGAACAAAGACTCAAGTCGAGGCTTGAGCCAGAATTCCAGGCCTGATTGCAAACACCAACAGCTAATGTGTGCTGTGGTCAGCCCGTCCTGACTGGCCCGGTCTCCAGCACCACTGTGAGAAACAACAGCTCTTAATCTGCTTTCACGCTCTCACTGAGTCAAACGGAGGCGCCGCTGACACACTCCAGTTTACAGACAGAATGAGGTGAGCCTTGTGGGCACGGGCCTAATGAAGCCATCACGGCCTCTGATGAGATAATTATGAAGGAGAAGTGGTGTCCTGTGAACCCCGACCGACGCCAACACTTCAAGATGTGTTTGATGTTGATGTAAACACTGGCATTAGTAATCTTTAGTTACATTGTTTAGTAAATCTGAAATATCTCCGCTGTGGGATCTCCTAATCTTAAACGTGGAGAATTACATCAGAGGTTATTATATTATATTAGAGTATGAGGTCCCGAAACTGTCAAATTAGAATCAGAATAATTCACATTAACTCAATTGAATGTATTTTTGTATTGCCCTAAATCACAAGTAGTAGTAGTTATCTCGGAGGATTTTACAAAGTTGTTGATTCACTAAACACAGATCAGAGAATCAAACAGGAGATGCCACAATAAAAGCACGCAGAGCCTTTGGTCCATAACGAGCAGACGACCAATGTCCATTAATGATAAATGTTTCTGAGGAACTGTACCCCATAAAAGCCTTAATAATATTTCTTTGCATTTGATCAGAAACCATAATAAACTTATAGTCACATTCAAATAGGGGCTGCGGCAAAAACAGGGGATGTCTGACATTGGTTTACCCACATTTTCTTTTGGACGAATGACTCTTGTAGCTTTTAATAGTTTCTAATTTCTTATTTGTTTCAATCATAAAAAAAAAAAAAATAAAAAATAAAAAAATCAACAATCCTGTGATGCCCTTGGAGATTTTGGTCTTACATCAGTGACTTTTCTGACCACCCTTGAAAAGTCATGTTCCAGCTTCTTCCCTCTGAGAGAAGTTGTTATTTGATACGAAGATGTCAGCATTCTAACAGATTCTTTAGAAGCTGTGATCAGAACAATATTGTATAAGTACTTTAAAGTTGTTTCACAGTACTTTTGAATGAGTTTCTGGTACTCGTACAGGTTCTTTGTACGTCTCTGGTGAACACAAACTGGGTTGCCTTTCTAATGAGGTTTCTTACTAAAAATAGCAAATAAATTGAATCTTAGATCTAAATACATCGATTTGATTTAATGCAATTGTAAAAATCCTGTACGGCCTTTTATGTCCAAAATAAAAGTGTCTATGCTTTTACCTTTTACTTTGTGTGCAGAATGAATAGAACTTATTGTACAACTAAACCAGGAAATGCTTGTATTGTTTGAAATGAAAAAGAAGTAAGATGCCAAATTACCATAGCAAGCTGGCGCCCGATATTTCCTACTGTGACTCCACCAGAGAAGAATATACACGGCAGCCAGGAGCGTACATACAGGAAGTCTGGAGAGGTGTATCTGCAGCAGAGAATACAGACACTTGTTAGAATACTTTCATTTTGCACATTGCTCAGAAGCATTGGTTTATTTATGGGAGTTATTCATGGTATGTTGCACTGCACAATTATACCACTTTCACGGTCGTGGTGGAGCGCATTTGAAAAACTTTCCAATAATATGTTTTTGTATGTAGAGAGCGAGAGAGCGAGAGCGAGAGCGAGAGCGAGAGAGAGAGAGCGAGAGAGAGGACAGGAGAGCGAGAGAGAAAGGACAGGGAGAGAGCGAAATAGAGACAGAGAGAGAGGGCAGGGAGAGATAGAGAGACACACAGAGAGAGAGAAAGAGGACAGAAAGAGAGAGAGAGAGAGAGAGGGGACAGGGAGAGAGCTGAGAGATAGAGAGACACACAAAGAGAGAGAAATAGGACAGAAAGAGAAAGAGGACAGAAAGAGAGAGGACAGGGAGAGAGATAGAGAGGACGGAGAGTGAGGGAGAGAAGACAGGGAGAGAGAACAGAGAGAGACAGAGTGATCGAGAGAGGACAGAGAGAGACACACAGAGAGAGAGAGAGAGAGAGAGAGAGAGAGAGACAGTGAGAGGACAGGGAGAGTGAGAACAGACAGACAGAGTGATAGAGAGAGGACAGAGAGAGAGAGACAGTGAGTGAGAGGACAGGGAGAGAGAGAACAGGGAGAGAGAGAGAACAAAGAGAGAGTGGACAGGGAGAGAGAGAGAGAGGGCAGGGAGAGAGTGAGAGAACAGGGAGAGAGAACAGAGAGAGACACACACAGAGTGAGAGAGACACAGTGAGAGGACAGGGAGAGAGGACAAAGAGAGAGGGACACACACACAGAGGACAAAGAAAGAGAGAGAGAGAGAGACACACACAGAGACGGAGAGAGACAGAGATAGACGGCATACAAAAATAATACCAACTCAACTTCCTTCTCTGCATGGTATCTTTTAATATCTGTCTGAGTTAGTCTTTTGAATCCAACACTTCATGTCTCCCTTTCCCAGTTCACTGGTTTTGAAGATTTGTCAGACTGAAGAAGGTCGGGAGGCAAGTTAATTGGGTTCCCACCAACACAGGGGATCCCCAACATAAATTCAACTTCATGTTACATTGAATCAAACAGTTATTCATTCCGATTGCTAAGTTCAAGACTTGACTGGAATATGTTATGAGGTCCTAACTTACTGGTAGACCCCGTTGTAGACGAGAAGCTGCGAGATAATTGTGGCCAGGAAAGCGGTGGTGATTCCCAGACCAAATCCACTCCTGGAGCGGTCGAACGTCCACCAAAGACCCAGAGACAAGGCTGCCAGCGTGAGGGACAGCTGGACGTTGTTATCTATGTCTAGTTTCTGTAATGCGTGTTAGTTAAGGCCAATGACACAAGCACGTTTACATAAGACTTCATTCTATGTTTGCGTACAGAAACTGAGACTTGACTTTGGTCTGGAGCAACAGCCTAAAACACACTTTACAAAGCAAAACACCATTTCAAAAGTTTTCCACATGATAAAAGGATACGACGCTGGCGTGGTTGATGCCGACGAACACCGCCACACACCTCATGACGCTGGCCCACTCCCTCTTGAACTTGTGTGGTTCTCCCAAGTGACTGTCCAGACACGGGTACAGCAGGCCCACCACAGCTGCACATGTCACAGAGACAGATGATAAGAGGAAGGCTGAGAAAGACTGCAGTGGAAAATACTGTGTGGAAGCAGGATTTTTCAGAGCATGCACTTATGAGTTCAAAGGGTCAGGTTTAGAAGAAATCCTTGCCTAGACATGTTTCATATATGAACAGTGGAATGACCAGATGTATGTTTCCTTATATGCTAAACTAGGTCAGAGCAAACACAGCAGAAGCTCCTAATAGATCCATGAGTTCATCAACAGAGAGCGCCCGTTTGTCTTCTGCTGCTTTAAAGGGAGGAGCCAGACTTCCGGGATCAGTCTGGAGGACACACCCCCTCAGCTCACCCGTTATTACGACATCCAATAAGAGCGCAGCGCGCCTCGTGCTCGGATGTCTTAACCAATCAAAGAGCGACATTTCGTCTCCATCCGCAGCGAGCCCCGCCTCCCGCATATGTGTCTGCCATGAGACTATTATGGTGTCTGCCAGACACAACTACGACCATCAAACATCATGTCCCCAAACAAAGATAAGTCGAAGAGCCATAAGATTACTTAAAAGTACCAAACAGAGGCCAGTACCAAGGCTAGTGTAACATGATAGCCCACATTCTAATCTTGTGATGTCACATGTCGGTGGTCTCTCTATGAAAGTATCCCCTGATGGTAGAAGTGCTGCAGCCTCACCTGCCCCGGTGCCGCAGCATGGAGGGATCCACCAGGCAGAGGAGAACAGTGTTGCCATGACCTCCTCTGGGAACAGCGTGACGTGTCTCTGGATCTGCAGCAGGTTGAGGACCAGGGCGAGGATGGCTCCCACCGTGAACAGAACCAGACCCCTGCGGATCAGGTTGGCTGTGCGCACATCGTGCAGAGAGCCGTAGGCTTGGCTCAGCATGGAGGTGATGATGGACATCATTTCTTCTGCCTTATATATGACCCACTTGGCACCGGATAAGTGATTAGAAGTACACGAGCAGTGGTCTTCTAGTCTCGGCATTTGGCACTGTAGAAGCACACATGCACACGCTTTACTCTCCTGCTTTGTCCAAGTTACAGTGAGAAAGAGGCAAAGGGATTACCTTATTCAGGAGATGTCTCCGTTCCGTCTCCTCCACTATCAAAGTCTTCTCTTCTCACAGTCGTGTGCACAAACAGCTTCTCAGCAGCGTTCTTTCCTTCATATCGCCCTCTCAGTCTCAGTTCTGGGGAAACCTGAAGCAGCGCTTCCTCTGCACAAAACAATCACAGCTGTGTCTGGTGAGCGGCGCGGACCAATCCGTGCGCGGCGGCTGATATGACGTGAGGTCCGGGACCGCCTCTCTGCTCAAGAGCAGAACATACTGAAGTGAAAGTGAGCATGAATGGCATTTAGGGCCACATACTTTTATATCCAAACATGTGAGAGCACAAACCAAGGTTAAATAGATAACATTAATGTGTGTGTTAGTTTGTAAGTCCTTAATGATAAAGGAAGGATCCTTGTTTTTGCTCAAACACACTGCTGCAGAATCACCCACTAAACTGTGCATTGCCCAAGGGCCTGATACAGGGATACCTATATAGAAAAGAATGGACAAAATGAGGTCAGTGTCACAACTTTTTGTTTTGGTGGAAAGCGAGTTAACTCTGGGTCAGAGTGGGCGGTGAGTCCAGAGGAATGAGGTGTGTGGTGTGGGCTTCTGCACGTCATAACAGAGATAGTAAAAGGTTCAATGGCCCACTCACCCACTGCAATAGAGGACAACAATATACAATCCTGTTTTCACGAGTCGTATGCAGCAGAAGGCGATAACACATGTCCAATGTGCACAACCGTGTACAGCAGTGTATAGGTCAGCAGTGTAAGGAAAGACACACCTAAACAAACAAACTATTCCTGATAGTAACCCAAGCTGCTTTGAAGCTTATGAAATGATGCATATTCATAACACTATGAGTATAACATAACAACTGAGGGCTTTAAGTTAATGAACTATTATGGACCTATGTATTCTGATGATGTGTCAACAAGTATAGCTTCTCTTACAGAAATGCTTACAATGTCTTCTTAGTCTCCAAACATATTACATCTATTCCATGTACAAGTAAAGTATTAATCATTACACGTGTGCCCTATGGTAAGTACAATTCTTTAAGAGCCTTTGATATTAGTGTAAATCAACATGTATTAAATATTTCTTATTTAGGGACAGATGCAACAAACATAGATCTGCTGCAGGTTTCTCTTTCACAGTGTTACATCCTGGCTAATGCACAACACCACGTGGCAACACTTCTTGCTTGAATTTGAAACCACTGGTCACATCCATCTCTCGCCTCAAGAGTAACACAACTTCAAAATAGTTTATGAAAGCGTTCTCCTCATCAACAGCTGAGTTTCCTACAGTGTTATAAAATATACACACACACACATATATATATGGACGCACACACAAGCAAACACACATGCACAGAACTTTCATTTCATGGAAAACATGATATAATTGCTCTTTTCTTCTCTTAACTCATACAAATTGAATTTCAAAACTGCCATTTGAAACAGACAAGGTTCTTGACACGCTCAGTAAATACCTCTTTAGGATTTTATTGCTCTGTTAATAGCAAAAATTCAAACATAAACACATTTAAATCTGCTTTTTGTTGAACTTTATTGAAATTGTGGAGTAAATGTACCATGTCTTGGAGGATATAACTTCTATCCAAGTAAAATGGCGTATTTTATGCAGTTGAATCATGTCCCATAGGCCTCACCAAATCCAAACCACTTTATTAGCATTAACCTCACTTCTTTCCACAGATAATGTCATAACTAATGTCATTTCATCTGTCCATGTGGCAAACACTGATAAATATTCCTGTATAGTGCTAGTATATTTAGATTCTTGAAGGATTTTGATGTGTGTGCTTATCCCAAATGAACATGTTTCTTTCTGTGTAATTCCAGGCAATCCGCAGCCCGCCCGGGGATAAAAAGCCTACAGCGGAGAATGTCTGTGAGGCGTCAGGGCCAATGCCTCTTTTCTTCTCAGCGTGTGTGCTCAAATCAGACACCACCTGACACCACCTATTCATTATTCTATGTAGAAGATGCACACAGTACGAGTGTCATTCATACACATTCATGCAGGCAGCCATTGTCAGCTGTAGGTGTCTTCATTTGGGCTGCTGTAGTTTTGCTTTTACCCGGAGTGTATTTGCAGATGTGGGCGGGCAGGAGATGCAGAAATACGCTCATATTTACAGATGTCTTTTCGTGGCTTTTCCCCCCATTGTACCCCCCATTTCCCATTATACCCACTCAAAGTTATGATATTTATAGTGATTCATGCTTGTTATTGTTGGAGTCATGTACTTTTAAATGCCTGTGCTCTGGAAATGTTGTTTTTCACCGACACCGGTACAGCATGTTCTCTTATAGCAACATCACTCAAAAAGATATGGTCAAAAAAACCTCATCAACGGAACACCAGGGAGTCTAGATTATTTTCACTTTTTTGTCTTCTTACTATTCTTTTTGTCTTATTTTTCTGGTGCTACAAATAGGATTATAACTGTAAACAAACAACTTAAAATCCACTGCTTATGAAGATGATCTGCAGATGAAAGTGGAGTCAGTGGCGATAACAAACTAAAGCATCAATGATAAATGCACAAATGTTTACTGTCTATACATACTTGGTCACACTATAGTTTAGCCCTCAGCTAATTAAGTGCTAATTAGTGTATAATTTATTGTAAATTAGCTCTTAATTGTTTTTATTATCAGTCCTTATTCTACATGGCCACCGTGTAACTCTTGGCCACTAGGGGCGCTAGACCTGCAACTTTCACGTTTAGCGCCCCTAGTGGCCACAAGCAACTCAGCACTGTCGCAAAAGTCAACAAACAGTCAGCCGGTGTCTTTTGAGTGTGTATTCAGACAGCATGCACTGGTGTGTGTGTTCAAACTGTAGAGACATGCCTACAGATATTGAGAGACTCTGCTGTGGTCAGCCTCCAGACCGCTGCATTAGTAATCTACCACACATGGACTTCTATATCCTGGATGAGGGAGTTCTGCGTCTAGCTCGTGCTGCGTGGAATGACATCTTTGCAGTCGATGACATCCAGGAACCAGGTGAAGAGCAGCGCTCATACAGACATGCAGCTTACAGCACGATCCCTTTCGCGTTTCCTCTTTTTAGCCTCCTCCGAAGGTTTAAAATTTTTCCTTGCCTCAGCCATGACCAGGAGTCGAGCAGGTGAAAAATGAGTAGCAAAAGCCTTAGCTCCATGAGTATATCAGCGCCTGTAGCCGTAAAGCAAGTCTTTCTTCCAAGTCACGTGACCTGGTGGCAGACGGTCCGTCTGCTCGAAACTTACATGGGCGGTATTTCAAGAGGGCAGCCCCGCTCGGAGCATTGCAAGTGTCAAGCGCTGTATATTGGCCCAAGTATTCATATAAAATAACTCATATGTGTCAACTCTTTAGGTCACAAAGTCCGCGGTGTGCCTTAACTACTTACTGACACTTTCTTGTACGGGTTAGGGTTAGGGTCAACTAATTAGCACTTAATTAGCTGTTAATTAGTGAGGGCCAATCTAAAGTGTTCCTCATACTTTTTGTAAGCTTGTCAACACCTGTTAAATGGGACAAAACATGGAATCATCACAGTGGGGCAGTGGTTAGCGCTTGTGCTTCACAGCAAGAAGGTCCTGCATGGGTTCGATTCTACCTCCAGACCTTTCTGTGTGGATTTTGCATGTTCTCCCTGTGTCCCTGTGTCCCCTACCACTAAAAACACAATAGGTCTGTTGTCCTGTACGGCGACCCCGCTCCTATGTGTGGAGAGAGAGACAAACGCCCACAACAATTGTAAAGTGCTTTGTGGCTCTGGTCGGTGAATGGCGATCTATAGATAAAGAGATTACTTATCTATATAGTTATAAGTTATAGTTATAATAAAAGTGTTGTTTACGATGTTTGTAATTCCAGGTGAGGTCAAGCAGTTCTTTTAGTTTCCTCATAACACAATAGACCAACTTATGTAGAATGCATAGCTGAGAATTTTTAATGAGCACTTGCAGCGGCTGTTTCCTCGTCCAAGAAGTCTGTCTGCATTTCTTGACTACTTTGGCTTGAAACATGTGACACGTGTTTTTAAAAACGCTCTGCTGAACTCCTGTTTGCAGTCTGGCTCTGTGTACACATCAAACAGACACCGGTCTATAAGCGTCCCTATAGCCTCCCGTTATATAACCATTGACAATACTGGACGTGACTGAAGCTTTTGACCCTGTGGAAAAGTAACGCGTCTCCATGGAAGCAGATACCACGTCACAAATTAAACATTGTGTCATGGAAGTATTATATTGATTTGTCCTAAACCTAAAGTAACCTCAAAACCAGAAGGTTTTATTGCATCACTCTATGATCTATAGACAAGACGGATGTATTATTACTATCATGTTATTGCTCGAAAAAAAAAAAAAAGTTGATATTTGCCTGGTCTGTTTCCATGCAGATTGGCTGAGTGGTTAGCACGCTCGCTCTCTCAGCAATAAGGTCCAGGGTTTGAATTCTGGTCGGAACAGGGCTTCTCTGTGTCGAGTTTGCATGTTCTCCCCATATCTGCGTAGGTTTCCTCTGGGTGCTCCGGTTTACCCACCACTAAACACATGTACAATAGGTAAAATCCTCCAGCTCTGCTCCTGACAGAGGCCCTGGTGGCTTTGAGGGTTGGGTCAAATGCAGAGGACACAATTATTTACTGGGACAATAATGTATAATTTAAAGCAGGAAGTGAAACCCAGAGAAGTGAAGCGGGATGGACCACCCTTTCACAGCCAATCAGCTCTCTTCGTAAGAGTCGTATTGTAAACAATGGCCTTCACAAAATGGACAAACGCAAGACAAAATATAAACGTGATCCGGCCTTGAGTAGGGCACAGAGACTCCAGTCGTGCATCCGTTGTTTGGAATAATTAACTGTTACGAACATGCCAATAAAAATGATTCTTATTCTGATTTCTCTATTGTCATTCTGTCTAAAAAAAACTGTCAAGCAGAGAATAAAACTTCCAGGTTTCTCTGGTGCACAAAGATCCCGTCTAAAGTCCTTCATTTTCAACACTATGATTGGAACAATAGTCATCTCCCCCGAATTTGTATTTTTTCGTTCTCATTAACAACTGTTCTTTCATAGACGACATACAATTCTTCTGACCATTGCACTTGGCTCACACTTTGAAAATCAACATTGCAGCTGCTTCGGTCACCACCACAACCACCATTACTACATTTTATAATCCCATTCAGAATAACATTAAAGCTGGAATACCCACAGAACCGAGATGACACACGGCAGACAGGCAGCATGTATGACTGTGGCTGACAGTGCTGGCGTTTAGCAGCACTCGCATCAGGAGATAAAGAGGGCCGCGCAGACACTTCAAATAAACAGCAGATCAAGTGTGTCATAGATTAGTCTGTGAGACGGGGAGGGATTGAATTACTGCTGAAGGAAGAGCCTGCCGGAACAGCCTCTAAATTGATCCATCAAACTCCAGTCTGACAATTTTGTACCCTCTATCCTGTGTGAAATTAGGAGGGGAAAATCTTTATCCGCCCCCTTTTTGGAGGCTTGATTACGACTGGGGCATCTTCATTCTGTGCCTGTGATGGTAGAAACGTATAGGCCTGTTTTGTATGCGTCTGAATATTTACGTGGAAGGTCCTGGGTTTGATTCCATCTCCACAACATTCTGTGTGGAGTTTGCATGTTCTGTGTAGGTTTCCTCCAGGTGCTCCGGTGTCCCCTACCACTACAAACATGTACAATAGATCTGGCATGGTCCTGTATGGTGAACTCACTCCCATCAAGCGCTTTGTGACTCTGGTTCGTGAAAAGCAGTATATACATAAAGATTACTTACTTGTTTGCTTGCTCGCTCATTTGCTTTACTGTTTGAGGATCAATAAGCTCCTCAAGACTTAATAATAACATACACATAGGAGCCATTGATTCATACAGAGCAGGGTGAAAAATGTCCATAAAGTGAGAATCCTAGGCCCACATTGAGAGAGAGATCTGCTCCACGGATGGACTCAGGCTGTGACCACTTAAATCAGTCGTCCATCAGCTTTGTTTTGTTTTGCTTTGTGTCATATCGCAACATAAAAACCTGCGGCTTATATTCAAGTGGGGCTTATATGTGGACAATACTTCCCTTTTTAAGATTTGGTGTGATTTATATACAGGTGTGCTTAAAGTCCAGCAAGTATTGAACATGGATTTTATTACAGTTACATTCATTGTGTTTGGGTTGAAAGATAGGTACCTCCCCTTTAACTCATTGACTGCCATTGACGTATTTGTCTGAGACTGGTGATTGGTGATTTTTGTCAAACTTCCCTCTATTGGACTGGGGATTACAGGAGAACAAAACTAGCTAGAAATCAACTTATTTTTGGTGATAAAAGTAGACGGTTGAGTCTTTCAGAATCTGGTTTCATATTTCACATAGTCATTGCACAAAATATTCTGTGGGTCTTGAAAGTCAGTGAAATCATCCAAATAGGCTGGCAGTCAATGGTAAAGTTACTGTATACAATCACATAGAAACATGAAAGGTTCCTGGCTATACTCATTGAGAAACATGATATTTGATCTCGTGTTGTGATTCAGACATGGAAAAGAGTCTTGTTTGTTCGTATTTATCGTTGACGTTTGATATTTTACTATAATATTAAATACGCTGTTTTGAAAAGTGAATTTCTAAAGGCTCAGATTTGTTTTGGACCATCCCTGTTTCTCATCTTGTTGATAATTCAAACATCGATCGACCAATTGAAGAATTAACATCTGATCAATATCCTCTCTGCAGCACGTCTACCCTGCCCAGTGGGCAATGTTCATGGAAACGGCCTCCCACTCTCCCCATGCAATATAAAAGATGAAAGCCATGGCGAGAGCAGACGGAATCAAGAATCCTAACAATGTCTGCTGCCACATGTCTCGGAGATACAATCCTCCTTCTCTTTGTTCTTAACACTTGCCTCCATTCTGTTCCATGCTGTTTTTTTTCCATGGATAAGCAGACTTAATCCTCTCCAAACACCTGCTTTTTCACAGTTGTATATTTGCCTCTGTCAAGATAACCTCAGTTCTTATCTGTGGGATTTTTCCATTAACCGTTTAAACACTTTACTTGCACAAAAACACTTGACTTTATCTTTCCGGGAAATTGCACAATCAATAAGTTACTATACTGTAAAAGGGGAGGAATGGGACGTGTTTATGGCAGGTGTGCTGTAAATAAATATGGCTATTGAGGTTGTTACAGAAGATGTTTTTGCTGAGCTCTAAATGGCTGACGGATTTGGGACTCGGGGAAATTAGCGTTTTACTGCAATTATCTGTGCATAAGATAACAGCTTTTGCCTCATTTGTGCTCAGGTGAGATTGTTAAAGCTCCATTCAAATGGCAGACTGCGGCCGATCAGGTGTTCCTCTCAGCCAATCACAGGCTGCCGTACAGAGGCGATGATCATGTGTGTGAGGAGAGAGGCAGGTTGAGGATTAGATCTGTATTTTTAAAAACCAGCGGAGTGGTTTTGTGCTGCACGTAGGCTGGTGTATTGCATTTGCCGTGAGCCAAGTCATATATTTACTCACCGCAAACATTGAAGGTACAAAACGGTAAGCCCAAGACAAATAGGAAGCAGTAATAGCTGTGGGTACGTGTGAAGTTTTCCTGAGTATCTCCATAACATGGGTTTTTATTATATTCAATTCAATGTGATCTATTTTTGTATCGCCCTAAATCACAATAATAGTTTTACCGGATGAAAACTACATGGCAGCACGGTGGCTCAGTGGTCAGTCCTCTCGCTTCCTCTCTGAGTGGAGTTTGCATGTTCTCCTCATGTCTGCGTAGGTTTCCTCCAGGTGCTCCGGTTCCTTCCGGGTGCTACGGTTTCCTCCAGGTGCTCCGATTTCCTCCTGGTGCTCCGGTTTCCCCTACAACTAAAAACATGTACAATAGGTCTGGCATGTGTCTCCTGTACGGCAACCCTGCTCCCATCTCTGTGTGGAGTGAGAGACAAATGCCCACAATTGTAAAGTGCTTTGTGACTCTGGTCTGTGAAAGGCGCTCTATAAATAAAGATGATTTACAAAACGTCAAATTTGCCAACACGGATCAGAGAATCAAACACAAGAAATGCACTGATAAAAACACATAGAGCCATTGGTCCATAAGGGGCAGAGACCAATGTCTATGTTGAATGTTGGGAGTCCTCACCCAGTTATATTAGAAAACATTTGATATTTTACATTCTGATTGAGGTGGTCTTTCCTGATTCACTGAAAAAGCAGATCTCAAAATGTGACAGAGGCCAAATATACATAAAACATAACTCGTGATAGAACCAAACTGTTTTGAGAACTAGTCACATGAATTTATTACATTGCTACTTTGTTTTGTTTTTTGTTTTGTTGAAAGATCAAGGCTATGCTCACACTCAGAGAGCAGCCGTCCTCCTGTGGACTCACCACCTGCAGAGGGTCAGTGAGGGGCTGGTGCTATGAGACTTGGGTGGCATCTCTGATTGCCACCCCCCTGACCCAGAAATGGATTAAAGGGTAGAAGATGGATGGATGGATACTTTGTTTTGGTTTCAATCTTGGTCAGTCCAGCTTTACGGTAATGGCATGGTTCTTTCTTGACCAATCACATTCAAAGTTCAAGACCTTGGTTTTCCTTTTACCACTCTGACCCAAGGAAGCCACGACAGTCATGCGATGAGCGGGGACTCATGACAGGGGCCGTGATTGGCTGCTGCTGGGACTGATCTGCCTCTGTCCTTGTTGTCCCGCAGTGCACTTGTCAAACAGCATGTGCCTTTCTTTTGTTTTAGCGTTTCCTCCACGTTGCATCACAGAATTAGTTTGCATAAGAAGCCCACATTGTGTTTCGAGTGTAGTTTGGGAATAGGATTGTTGTCTGTGATATTGTAATGAAGTGAATGCACGTTGATATGGATGACTTTTAATTGGTTCTTATTTTGAATAGACTTCTATATAGAGGGGGAATCAGAATAATCCAGTATATGAACACACTGTAAAACATACCTCAAGGGACATGTTCATTGCCAATGTACTAATTAGTCTATGATGCACCAAAAGATAAAAATAAACAGGATTTTTAACTATACATTTATATTTTGGGGGAGAAATTCCATTAATTTGGGTTTTGAAGGCCAAACTGTTTGCACTTGTGTATTATTATTGTTACTGAATTGAGGAAGGGATTTCTCAAACCTTGAATCTTACGGATTTGTCTGTTGTGAAATTCTGATTTGAACAATTGTCTTCATTTTTCCATTTTGTTGTTGTTTTATAAGGAAAAAAATCTTTGTGCTTTACTGAAAGCTTCCACAAAACCACAAACACATTAAACATAATAAACCCCATCTAACTAGTTCCTCAGTCTCACAACAGTTGGTATGACTACACACATTTATCTTTAGCCTCAGTATTTTGATCCAGTTTAAAAGGCAGAAAAGTTAAATTGAGAGGACCACCCTCACTCAGCCAATCAGCTCTCAGCCCAAACATGTCAGAGCCACCAGTGAATCACTATAGGACTGTGTGCAAAGGATACATGTTTTCTAAGAAAGCAAATGCTACATGTTTTGTTTTGGCTTTTTGCGACATTATATCTTTTGATGTTTTTACCTATTTTACAAATTTGATGTGACTGTGTGTATATGTGTGCATGTGTGTTATTGATTGATTGATTGATGCCGTGGTCTCATTTGTTCACAACATTTCACGTTTGCATGTTTCTCCCTGTGCCTGTGTGGGTTGACTGGGTTTCCTCCAGGCGCTCCTGATCATTCAAGTTTAATGACGCTGAAGGCTGAGTCAAAATGCAGCTTTTACTGGACCCTTTCTGTTGAGACAATTGCAATGTAGGGTCTTTAACATGTTTTATTTATTCCACTGGAGTTCTCTGACAGCTGCTGCTACTAATACACAAAGTCACCTCTGATCCTAGGTCTATATTCAATGAATCACTAATAACAATCCTCAGTTTCCTCTGGGCGTATCTAATGTGCCATGTCCAAACGAACTAGTTGTTGTTGTTCTTTCTTTATCAGTAATGTTCAGCAACTTTTATTGCAAGATTACTCACACAGGCTTCACACGCACATGCACATGCACATGCACACACACACGCACACGGACATGCACAAGTGGACGGGGACCCAGACTGCGTGAATGATTATTTCGGATTCCACAGCTAAAAGACAAAACACCAGCTTCATATCTGATACATGTCGAAAGTGCTTGAACACTATAGACACACGCTTAGACCAACGTTACGGAATCTGAAGCTTTTGTACTGAACCTAGAACACAGTATAACCATTCCTTAAACAAAAGTACTGCTTTGCACTTTACTTTCATTTCTGCAACACACTTTCTCTTTCTGCAACACACTTTCTCCTTCTGCAACACACTTTCTCTTTCTACGACACACTTTCTCCCGCTCACTACACACTGTGTCACACATAAGACACTTTGTTCATAAATGCAATCCTGTGATATCATTGGGAAAACACATCTATTCGAAATACCACACACATTGTGTGATAGAAAACGATGGAACACACACTTGAAAACACTGACTTACAAAATGCGACACACATCAGCCAGACACAAACAGGCCTCAGTTTAGCCATTCTCAGAACTTTGCAAGTCTACAGGCAGGAAGAGCATGAGGTAGAGGAAGAGGAAGAGGAAGACAAGGAGAAAGGAGGAAGTTGTGGTTGAAGATATTTCTGACATTAGAGCAACTTTGGAGGATCATGTGATGAACCATGGCCTCACACTGAAGGAAGCAGAGAGTCCAGACACAGCTCCAACATCAGGACCTTTAGATGGAAAGATGTCTCCAACCCTATACTGCTGTGAACAGTACTGTAAAAAACTAAACCTATGGTAACAATTTGTGGTTGCATATTTATACTGAATGATTAGAAGGCCTTCTGGAGGGGGTGGTTGGAAAGTGTTCACCAACAGCAGGAACCATGATCCATAATCCACACACGCACAACTGCATAGTTTCACATTAGAGTTGTTTTGGTTTACTGCAATGACACAAATGCAGTAAAGTATACTGTGGTACTGTAATGTACAGTATACTGTAGTACTGTGATGTACAGTATACTGTGGTACTGTGATGTACAGTATACTGTGGTACTGTGATGTACAGTATACTGTAGTACTGTGATGTACAGTATACTGTGGTACTGTGATGTACAGTATACTGTGGTACTGTGATGTACAGTATACTGTGGTACTGTGATGTACAGTATACTGTAGTACTGTGATGTACAGTATTGAGTTGATATTATCTGTAACCTTTCAGTACTTCCTGGTTGTTGGTAAACCTTTGTTGAGAACAAAAACAGTTCCATTGAGCTCTACAGAAAACTAACTGATAAACAGAATAAAAACTGTGAAAATGACTGCAGTGTTTTATATAAAGTACCGTCGTGTGTTGCTTCTAATCTGAAAGTGTGTTCACATGATGCTAGTGTGTGTCATTTTGTCCATAGTGTTTCATTTTGACAAATTATTGTTTAGTTTAGAAAGCAGAGTTTGAGTTTTGATAAAGGAGTTTCATTTTGAGACAGATGTGTCTGGTTCATGTCCCAGTGTTGTGTCAGATTTTCTTGTGTGTAGAGTTTTGGGACATTGAGCGAAATTTTGCAAAATGTGTTCAAGCAATAGGAAAAAACTGTAAACGTGTTGCTGCGCCCCCTAGTGCACGCGTGTAGACAACCCCTGGGTTGTGATTGCTGTAGACTGACCAGCAGATGGCGTTAGAGTTTTATGTATAGAATGGCAGTCGTCTCTGCGTTTTTAACGTGTATAATTCTGGTGATTTAACTTTGGGCAACGGCCATCCCATCATCCCCAAGACAAGAAACCTTAAATACAATCATATTAGGCCTAGTAGTAATTTAAAATACAACTAAAATATGCATCACAATGATATTTTATTATATGAAGGATGAGGATTACAACAACAAAAATATTATCTGATCATTACAGTACTTGATTAGACCCATATATGAGTGGGGACTCGTATATGGGACTGAAAATGGCATCCCTTAATCCATTTTGTGGGGGAGGGGGGCTATCTATTAACTCAGGGCGGCTGAATATCTTTGCAAGCTATCTCTTTTAGTTTTATATTTGTAAAGACAAAGTAAACTGATATTTAATTTTGCTTTCACTTCACAATTGTACATTGCTATGTGTTGGTTTTTTTCTATTGTGGTTGTAAGACAAAATGTGACATAAATGCTCTGATCTGTTGTGTATATACTTTACAAAGTTGACCTCAGGTCCTGTCAAGAAAAAACCCAGACTGCACTAAGATATACTGATATTTTTCTGACTGCACTTTACCCTTCCACAGACATAAACAGTCATCTCGATTACCAACGCAGCCTCTGGAAATGGAAGATGGAGATGCAGGCAGCAGCGCGGTGTCACTACGGCCTCTTACCATCGTTTACCCTTCGTGTGTGTGAGTGGCAGCTGACATTTCCAATCGAGAGGTGAGGTCTCTCTGGATTCTTTCAAACATTCAGCCCAGCACAGACTAGAGTGCACCTCCTCAGAGTCTGTCGATAGATGCACAGCTCTGCGAGAAGTCACAAATACATATACATTTGTGTGTGTGTGTGTGTGTTTGTGTTTGTGTGCGTGTGTGTGTGTGTGTGTGTGTTTGTGTGTACAAATACTTAGTTTATATTTATCATATGGGACTGCTATGTTATTTTGTTTTAGAGCAGCATTATCTGATTTCACCAAGTCATTAACAGTCTCCAGGATGAATGTCAAAGTTGTTTGCCCTAAGATCAATGTTTCATTGGGTTTGGGTGAGAGTAAGGCCTGGGGTCAGAGGTCAGGGCTGGTTAGGTCAGTGTTAGGGCTAGAGCTCACTATGGGTAGGGTTAGGACCAGGGTTAAAGTTTAGTGTTAGGATCCCAGAATCAACTTACAACATTGGCTCTGGATTGTTTCTTACATTTTTTTTTTTAGATTATATTAGATTATTGTCATTACAAAGTCAGAACAATGCAACAAAATACAGTTTAGCGTCTAACCAGTAGTGCAATAGTGCAAGTATAGGATATTTACAACACACACAAACATATTTGCATATACAGTATGAGAGACTGTACAAGCTGCTATTGCTAGAATAAATTAATTATGTTACTTTACATTAAAGTGCATTTAATGGGCTTATTTGTACATAATCAATAAAACAGACAAATAACTTGCACCTGGTTTGAAAAGGGGTTGGATGAAGCTAATGTTTATTTACATTACAAAAATTGTGATTAAATTACATGATATTGTTTAAACAGTGTATGTGTGATGGGGAATCACACATACACTGTTTAAATAATATCATGCAGTAGAATTCTCAAACATACAACTGCACAGTACAAACAGTAATACAATACTCCCACTGACAGACAACACAAAACACACAGGCCCAAACACTCTTCGACACTACACCTCTCTCCCACTACCTGCTCTGTGCTTTCGACATCACTCTCGTTCTTCCACATATTTCTTCAGTACATATTTAAGAATGTCTTTCATTCGACTGATAGATCATTCCAAACAGCAGCTCCACACACTCCAGACACACATTGATTTTAAATTAGTCCTACATTTAGGCACATTCACCATTTTTCTTCTTCTTCAGTCTATAATTATGATGAGCATCTCGATCATGGAAGAGGTTCTGTAACTTAGAAGGTAGTTTTCAGATGCCCGGAAAGCAGTTTTAAATGTAATGTTTAGCGTCTAACCAGTATTGCAATAGTGCAAGTATGGGATAATATTTACAACACACACAAACATATTTGCATACATGAGAGACTGTACAAGCTGCTATTGCTAGTATAAACTTTAATTATGTTACTTCACATTAAAGTGCATTTAATGAGCTTTAATTGGTTGAGAGTTCAGGAGTGTGACTGCTCTGTGATAAAAAGTGTCTCTTAGCCACTGGTCCTGGTCCGGAGACTCCTGTAGCGGCGACCAGAGGGCAGAAGGCTAAAGAGTCTGTGTGCAGAATGAGAGGAGTCCTTCACAATCTTACGAGCCCGCCGCAGAGCGCGCTGGCTATGGGTGTTCTTGAGGGCAGAGAGAGGAGCCCCAATGATGCGCTGGGCTGTTTTTACCACCCGCTGTAGTGATTCCCGCTCTGCCACAGCACAGTTCCCATACCAGGTCATAATGATATGTATCGCAGAGCAACAGAAATGCAGAATTACGGACGGGGACATGTGATTCTTCTTAAGAGTCCTCAAGAAGACGCTGGTGGGCCTTCTTGACGAGGCTGGAGATGTTGATGGTCCAGAACAAGTCCTCAGATATGTGGGTTCCCCTTCTTTACTCCTCCTGAAGTCCACTATAAGTTCTTTGGTTTTGCTGGTGTTGAGGTGCAGGTTGTTATCAGCACACCAGGTGGACTGATGCTGGATCTCCTCTCTCGCCATTTCATTGTTGTTGTGGATGAGGCCTATCAATCTGGTGTTGTCTACAAACAGGTTAGACCTGGATGTACTATAGGTACTTACTTACTTACTTACTTAGTGAGTAAGTAAGTAAGTGTGATTGGATTCAGAATACACAATACATTGCCATGTGTAAAATAAGGAGCATCTCTTTAGTTTTTTTTCTCCCTTTGCTGAGAATTTATTGGATTATATTAATTGTAATTTATGTCAGAGCTGCACAAAGGCCTCACCACATCAGTGTTGAGGACAATCAAAAGCACAAAAGGAGATGACAGATGAATGAGTTTTGATCAGCACAGAGCGAACCATCAGGTCATGTTTTCAGGTTGTTTAAAACGGTTTTTCCAACATATTTACATACATCACTCACTGAAACCTCACATGACAGCTTCATTACAGACTGACCAAACTGAGTTTGGATTACTTTAGAACGATATAGGTATAACAGGGTTCCAGCTCTGGTGGAGTGAGACCTATTAACTTTAGCAAGTGCAGTTAAACGCTAAAAATGTTGTATCCTGTCAAAGCAAGCGTTCACTCGGCGTGCATAAGACCTTGGGGGACAATAGTCTAGATCTCTCATTGAAAATGACACCGAAAAGAGCCAATTTGAAGCAGACAGCGCCTGAAGAAGGGAGCCCGCAGTGGCCTCATGGGATAGTGCTGAGACCCCCGCAGGCAAAACTGAGCCTCAACTCTCAAAGGTTGATGGCCGCGATTGTTCCAGTGTATTCTGAGGTGACATCAGGGCAAGTTTAAGTCAGCAAATGTTTGTGTCACATGGTATTGTAACACAAAACGTATAATGTATATATATACAGCAATCTCTAACAACAATCTCTAGGGGCACATGTTTGACAGCTGTGACCCCTGTAATCGTCTTTTTACAGAGGAGACTGCTTTAGAGTATTGTGTCAGTGACAGGAAGCTCAATTATAAAATATATCAAAGTACTTTGGGCATTGTTCAATATTTCTGACCATATGCCACTTACTGACGTTTCTTACTCAAATTTGATTAATAAATATATAATTTCTCTAGCACTCAATTGTCCCACACTAGAAGCCCTTTAGAAGAGCACTCTGAAATGAACCAACAAGCAAAATGCAAATCCAGTCATTAGAGGCAATTACGCAAATTTACTGCTATTAAAATAAAAATAAATATTTATTTAAAACCTGGCCTGAAGTGTCAAGTGCACAGGCAGATGTTAGGGGATATTAGCTGGACATGGACATTTTCTAACAAAATAGTTTGTCATTTATGTATTTTTTTTATTTTGAACCTGCACAATACATATTTTTACATAATCGATAAAACAGAAAAATAACTTGCACCTGGTTGGAAAAGGGGTTGGATGAAGCTAATGTTTATTTACATTACAAAAATTGTGATTAAATTACATGATATTGTTTAAATAGTGTATGTGTGATGGGGAATCACACATACACTGTTTAAATAATATCATGCAGTAGAATTCTCAAACATACAACTGCACAGTACAAACAGTAATACAATACTCCCACTGACAGACAACACAAAACACACAGGCCCAAACACTCTTCGACACTACACCTCTCTCCCACTACCTGCTCTGTGCTTTCGACATCACTCTCGTTCTTCCACATATTTCTTCAGTACATATTTCAAACATCGGTTTTGAGAATGTCTTTCATTCGACTGATAGATCATTTAAACAGCAGCTCCACACACTCCAGACACACATTGATTTTAAATTAGTCCTACATTTAGGCACATTCACCATTTTTCTTCTTCTTCAGTCTATAATTATGAGGAGCATCTCGATCATGGAAGAGGTTCTGTAACTTAGAAGGTAGTTTTCAGATGCCCGGAAAGCAGTTTTAAATGTAATCCCATTAGTTTCAATTCTCCTGAATCTATGAACAGTGGGTTCAAATGATGTCTATAGTGGATATTTGATACAATCCAAATGTCCTTTTGTGTAGGGCAATTAGAGGCTTACCATGATTATGAACTGTCAAAGATGGAACGGACAGCAAGTCAAAAAGACCACCCAGGTTTAGAGTGTTTTAACATCCAAATGTGCAGAGAGTTCTTTGCACCTGGAGCAGGCTTTAACATTCAACAGCCAGACCGACTTGCTCTTATGTTTCTTTGATAAGCCGGCGAGTTTCTTTAGGTCATGACTCTTCATCAACGCCTGAGTGAGTCGGACAGACACAGAATCTCTCTGCCCATAAAGCCCCAAAGGTGAGACCCAATCGTGCAAGTAAAACAGGAACCATTTATATGAAATCTGACAGGCCGGAGTGAAGGAAGTGTTGGGTCTAGACATAGATTGAATCATTGTGTTGTATATGTGCTTCCACAGATGGCACCTTCCTGTATACATTAGACTTCAGAGTTTATTAAGATTGAAGAATAAAGATAATCATGTTCCCAGTGATGGGAATAACGGCGTTACTAGTAACGGCGTTACTAACGCCGTTACTTTTTTCAGTAACGAGTAATCTAACTAATTACTTTGACAGTAACTATAACGCCGTTATCATTTCCGACATCCCGTTACTGCGCGTTACTCAAGACGCACAATGAACGTGTTGTCATGAGAGAAGGGAGGATGAGAAAACCTCTCAACAATTATTGGCTGATGTAAATCATATTTCCTTTACAATCTACATGTCTACAGTTGAGAGGATGGCTCATAAATTGTGTTTTTGAAACAAATATGGGTCTTAATCGCGCTCAACCACGGCTTGTATCACCGTGAGGTCAGCCACAGAGGAGCGCATGTGAGCGCAGAAGTCGGCTGCATACAATTCCATCGATAAGCTCCTTGCTCTTCCTGGTTTATCTGCTAAGGACAGCAACAGGTTTGGCTAACATACATATAACACATTTTTACATAATCTAAAATGCACATAGGGTAATTTTTCAATTACTATAGGAATGATAAGAAAGAGAGGTGAAGTGTAAGACGGTTGATTTTAGAAATTGGATGCAGCCGGCTGCAGCAAAACAGAGGAGTTTACGGA